ATATAAGCTTTTGGAGTATTTGTTCTAGTTTTGTGAAATATGTTGTTGGTATTTTAATGGGGAGTGCAATGAATTTATAGATTGCTTTGGGTAGTATGGGCATTTTAATGAGGTTAACTTTTCCAATCCATGAACATGGTATATGCTTCCACTTTTTTTTTATCTTTCTCTATTTCTTTTTTCAATGCCCAATAGTTTTCTGTGAACTGATCCTTTACTTCTTTGTTTATGTTTACTCCTAGGTATCTTTATTTCTTTGCCACATGGTAACAGGATTGATTTTTTAGTTTTCCTTTCTGTGAGTTCATCATTTGTGTATAAGAATGCCATCGATTTCTTGATGTTAATTTTGTATTCTGCTACTGTGCCAAATTCATTTATTAAGTCCAGTAGATTTTTGATGGGGTCTTTAGGTTTTTCTATGTACAATATCATGTCATCTGCAAATAATGACAGTTTCACTTCCTCCTTTCCAATTTGGATCCCTTTTATTTTTTCTTCCTGTCTGATTGCTGTGGTTAAGACTGCCAGTACTATGTTAAATAAAAGTCGTGAAAATGGGCATCCCTGTCTTGTTCCTGTTCTTAAGGGAAATGCTTTTAGCTGTTGCCCATTGAGTATGATGTTGGCTGTAGGTTTTTCACATATGGCCTTTATTATCTCAAGATATGATCCCTCTATTCCCACATTGCTGAGCGTTTTTATCAGAAATGGGTGCTGGATTTTGTTGAATGGTTTTTTAGCATCTATTGATATGATCAAATGTTTTATATCTTTCATTTTGTCTATGTGGTGTATAACATTTATTGATTTGAGATTATTGTACTATCCTTGCATCCCTGGGATGAATCCCACTTGGTCATGATGAATACTTTTTTTTTTTATGTGTTGCTGGATCTGATTTGCTAATATTTTTTTCATGTGTTGCTGGATCTGATTTGTTAAGGATTTTGTCATCTGTGTTCATTAGCGATATTCACCTGTATTTTTGTTGTTGTTGTTGTTTATAGTGTCTTTACCTGATTTTGGAATTAGAATTATTATGGCCTCATAAAATGAGTTTGGAAGTCTTCCATGTTCTGGAATTTCTTTGACTAGTTTGAGGAGAATGGGTGTTAGATCTTCTTTACATGATGGTAACACCTGCCCCCCTCTCCCCCTTGAACCCATACAGGCCTAGGCTTTTGTTTGCTGGGAGTTTCTTGATTATATTTTTAACTTTCTTAGTTGTTATTGGTCTCTTCAAGTTTTCTATCACTTCCTGGTTTTTGGGAGACTGTGCATTTCTAGGAATTTCTCCATTTCACCTAGATTGTTTAATTTGTTGGCATATAATTGTTCACAGTATGTTTTAATGATCCTTTGTATTTCTGTGGTGTCAGTTGCTACTTCTTCTCTTTACTTTCTGATTTTGTTTATCTGGTTCCTCTCTTTTTGTTTCTTGGTGAGTCTGGTTAAAGGTTCATCAATCTTGTTTATGTGATCAAACAACCAGCTCTTTGTTTCACTGATTTTTTAATTTTTTTTTTAGTTTCTATGTCATATATTTCTGCTCTGACCTTTAGTATTTCCTTCTACTTGCTCTGGGTTTTTCTCTTTGTTTACTTTCTAGTTCTTTAAGTTGTAGGGTTAGAAAGTCAATTAGGAATTTTTCTTGTTTCTTGTGGTAGGCCTGTAGTGCTGTGAACCTCCCTCTCAGGACTGCTTTCACTGCATCCTATAGATTTTGTGTTGTCATATGTTCATTTTCATTTGTTTCCAGGAAGTTTTTGAATTTCTCTTTTGATCTTCTTGGTAACCCATTTGTTGTTTAATAATATGCTATTTAGCCTCCATGTGTTTGAATGTTTTTGTGTGTTTTTATTGCAATTGAGTTCTAGTTTCATGTCACTGTAATCTGAGAAGATGCTTGATATGGTTTCAATCTTCTTGAATTTGTAGGAACTACTTTGTGTCCTAACCTGTGATCTATTATCGAGAATGAACCATGTGCACTTGAGAAGAATATATATTCTGAAGCTTTGGGTTGAAATGTTCTATAAATATCAATTAACTCCAACTGATCTAGTTCATCATTTAAAGACTTTATCTAGATGGTTTATCCAGTGTGTCGTCGGGGTGTTAAAATCACCCACTATCATTGTATTACTGTTGATCTCCCTTGAAGTCCTCCAGATGTTTTTTGATATATTTTGGTGTTCCTGTATTTTTGGTGCATATATGTTTACCAGGGTTATATCCTCCTGTTGGATTATTCCCTTTCATATTATGTAGTGACCTTCTTTGTCTCTTACTATGTCTCTTATTATTATGAAGTCTTATCAGATATGATTATTGGTACACTAGCTTTTTTTTCTTTTCCATTTGCTTGGGAAAATTTTTTCTATCCCTTTACTTTCATCCTGTGTGAGTCTTTTCTTGTGAGGTGGGTAGACAGCATATATATGGGTTATGTTTTATTATTCAGTCAGCTAGCCTATGTCTTTTGATAGGAACAGTTAAGCCATTTACATTTAAGGTTATTATTGAGAAATACTTATTAATGACCATTTTTATTTTATGCTTGTATTCCTGTCTCTCTTTGTTTCTTCTTCTTTTTATAGCAGTCCCTCTAGCATTTCTTGAGGTGCTGGTTTGGTAGTGGTAAATTTCGTTAGCTTTTTTGTCTGTGAAGCTCTTTATTTCCCCATTCAGTTTTGAAATATAGCCTTGCTGGACAGAGAAGTCTTGGATTCAGACCCTTGCCTTTCATTACTTTGTATACTTCATGCCACTCCCTTCTGGCCTGCAGTGTTTCTGTTGAGAAATAAGCTGACAGTCTAATCAGAACTTTCTTGTAGGGAACTTTCTTCCTCTCTCTTGTTTCCTTTAAGATTCTTTTTTGTCTTTAATGTTTGCCATTTTAATTATGATGTGTCTAGCTGTGGATCTTCTTGGGTTTATTTTGCCATCTTATTTGAAACTCTGTGTTTCCTGGACTTGTGTGACTTTTTCCTTCACCAAATTAGGGAAATTTTTTGTCATTATTTCTTCAAACAGATTCTGTATCCCTTTCTATGATTCTTCTCCTCTTGTACCCCTATCATGCAAATGTTGTTATGTTTTGTGTTTTCATAAATCTCCCTCAAACTCTCCTCCTGCTTTTAAATTTTCCCCCCATTTGCTGCTCTATTTGGGCGGTTTTGTTTTTCTTCTACCTTGTCTTCTAACTCGTTGATTCAGTCTTCAGCTTCTTCTAATATACTATTGAATCCTTCTAAGGTATTTTTCATATCAGCTATGTCATTCTTTATTTCGTCTTCATTTTTATTCATAGATTCTACCTCTTTTTTAAGCTAATGTAGTTCCCACTGAGCTCTTTATATTTCTCATTAAGTTGCTTGTAGTTCTCGCTAAATTGTTTGAACACCCTTAAAATTATTGCTTTGAATTCTTTATCTGACAAACTGCTTTCTTCCATTTCATGTAGTTACTTCTCTTGTGATCCTCCTTTTCTTTCATTTGGGTGTTGTTGTTTTTTTGTCTCCCCATTTTAGAAGTCTGGTAGTTTTAGGCCTGATGAGGGATATTGGGTTGTATAAGCAGGTTGATGTGCATGAAATAAGTTGCTGTGCCTCCCAGACTGTTTTGGCGCATGGTGCCTCTTGCCTGCTGTGGGTCCTGGAGGATTGACAACTGATGGTTGGTATTGGTCTGTCATGGTAGGCACTGCTGGGGTGCATGCATTCCACCAGTGTGCTGCTGGGGCATTCAGTTCCCAGCCAGGGCTCTACTGGGGCATGCAGTTTCCCACTGGGGCTCTGCTGGGGCAGGTGGGTCCCACCAGTGGGCTTCGGAGACATGCTGCTGACTGGCTGGGCTCAGCTCCTCATCAGCTACTGTTGGCGCTGCTGGGGGTGAGTATCAGTTCCCTGTTTTTGCTGCTACTGCTGCTGTTATTGCCAGGGGGTATTCCCAGCCCCCAATCCTCTGCTGCCATTAGGGGCTGATGATGCTCAGCTCCCAAGCCTCAGCTGCTGTTGGTGGTGGGTCTCCTCTCCTATCCAGTCACTGCTGCTGTGGGGGAAGGTGCTGGGCTCCCATGCTGACCCTACTGCTATGAGGTGGTATAGCTCTGATCAGGCTGCTGCTGTGGGGGATGGTACTTGGCTCCTGGCCGGATGGGGCTTCTATAGCAGGCACCTTGACAGTGCTGCTGCTGTGTGCGCTGATCCGCATTGACACAATGGGGTCCACTGATTCGATGGTGCAAGGTGTACAAGTGGATCAGGTTGCTGGGTCCTAGCTGCCCCTCCTGCCTCTTTTCAGAGAAGACCAGGGATCTTCCAAAATGGCATGGCCTCTTGGCCATGCAGGGAAAAGTGCCCTGACAAGCCGCTTACCAAGGTAGCTGGCTCCTCCCACCCACAGCACAGGAACCCTCTGCCCCATGTTTCTGCACTGCATGAGGTTGCTCATCTACACTCACATCCACTCACACTTGCTCACACTTTCACATATTCACCCTCACTCCAGTCCTGCCCGCTGCCATCTTTTTCTCATTGGTCTGTTTTGAATCCTTGTAGTGAAATTTTCAATTCAGTTCATTTTATTCTTTAACTCTATGAATTCTTTTTGGTGCTTAGGTTTTCTCTTTCTTTGATGAAATTCTCAATTTTCACATGCATTGTTATCCTAACTTTGGTGAGCATCTTCATGGTGGTTATTTTGAATTCTCTATAGGGTGTCATGTGTCTCCCTCTCTTAAGAGTTAAATTCTGGAAGTTTATTTTTATTTTGTTTGAAAAATATCTCTATTCTGCTTCTGTTTTATTTTTTTTTTCATTAATAAAATTTAAAAAGAAGTAATTATAAGGCTTTTTAGACTTGTAATAAAATGAATTGTGGCATGCCCTACCTTCTTCTTGCTCACCCAAATCATGAAAAGCTAAGTGAAGTCTGACAAGTATAAGGAAAATACAAAATTGTTTTATGTGTTTTTTTTAATGGTTTTTTATCAGGTGTGGGATATCACATAGTCATGGTGAAGGAACCCCACTGTAATGTTGAAAAAATTTCTAAATTTATGTGTTATCATATACCATCAGCCATTTTGGAGAAGAATATTAGAAATGAATTATCTTTTCTTCTACCCAAAGACAGCACACACAGGTATGGACAAAGAGAGTACTAAAGGTTGGTGTTTAGATAACAGGAAACTGTTGTTGTTTCTCCTGGTTTCTTCAGGCTTAGGCAGTGGAGCTCATTCAACAAGGCAGTACTCCGTCCTCGCTGCCTCTCGCTCTCAAGAGAGAGGTGACTTCTCGTGGCTGCAGTGTCCTGGTTTTATTTAGTGGTGATGGATGGTATGTTGTAGGTAGAATAAAAATTGAGTGGTGAGTAGAGTGGAAATATTAAGATAATGAAAGAAAAAAATGCCTCTAGTGGTGGCTCCTGAGCCAGGGTGACAAGAACCCAGAGAAGAGAGGCAGTTTACCACGCTAGATAGCCAAGGTATTCATCAGAGGTGAGTGAATGAAAACCTTGAATATTCTTTGTCACAAAGAATAAAAACGTTACTGAGGTAACTACCCTAAAAAATTGAAATGAAAACCAACAGTACTCGTCAGTGACTTTCAGGGTGCATCTTTATCTTCTTGTCATATACAAGGAAGTACTTGCTCTGGTTCTCCTAGAGCCAAGCCAGTTTTCATCATCAAGAATATAAAGGACTTTAATGTCTCCTTTTCTAAGAAAAAGAGGACTGTGTCAAAAAGATAAAAAATGAAAAGGAACTGCATGATGTTAACTTTTTATTTAGCAATCTGAAAGTTATTGAGAAGCAGCAGCATGGAACAATGTGATTGGGAATCAGAGTACAACTAAGACCCTTATCATAAGAAGGAATGAAAAAATAAAGTATCCTAAATAACTGGAAATAAAATTATAGATATGGGTCCCTAGAGAACCAGGACGAGGTGGGAGCTTTGGCCCACTGTGCTAGTTGTGATCCATGTGAATCTGAAGCATCTCTCTGCAGATGAGATAAAGCGTCTCTTAAACGTATCACACTGCCCACCCACCTCATTCACGGACACAAATAACATACTGAGACGTAACAAAGGAAGTGGAAGTATTCAGAAGCACATGACATTTTACCACATACTCTTCATATTTATCATATCTTCACGTTTGGAAGCGGATGGTGTGAGTCATATCTCCTTTGGACTTGGAGGACCAAAAAAGGAAGGAGACCTTAGAGGTGTACAACTAATTATAGGTTGCTATGCCATAAATCAGGATTTGGAATGACAGACTCACTAGAAATAAAATGAAAATCATCAAATAAGGGAAGAATGTATTTTCTCTAAAAGGGAGAGTTTTAAACTAGGAAACAAGGGAAAAAAATTATAAGAAAAATAAATACAAATGGATCTAGTTATTTCAGAGGAGAATATAAAAAGAAAAAAATGATGGTTCAATTCTTAATGATTTTTATTTTAGCTATGTTTTGATAGCTGATGGTAACTAAGAACTTACTTTTTGTCAGGCATTGATCTAATATACATTTATTTACCTGAATAAATTATAAAGAAGAGAAAGAGAAATAATTTTTAATTGTATATACTCGTAATTCATTGAATATATCTTACAAGGAAGGTAATCTTGACATTTTAAAACCATGTTGTAACTTGCTATAAAATATTGCTGAGACTTGTTGGAATGAAGCAAGTTTAGAATATGGCAATGGAATGATATATAGCATTCCAAAGGAATAGATATGTAAGATAAGTATCACAAGAGTGCTGCATATTAGAAAATATTTGCATGCTTAAAGTTCATGAATTAGTTTGTAAATATGCAGAAAACTGGGTGACAGTAGGAAAAAAAAAATAAACATGTTAAAAATATTGTGTGAAATTGGAACTTAAAAGGAGGAAATAAATAATATATTTCTGATACAAGGTTTAAGCAAGATGACTTAGTAAAGAGATGAGTTCAATTAGACGTGTAGCATGTTTTATTTACCTCAAAGCAGGTCTCTTACATGTCCCTGACTTTTCTTGCCAACTATTACACCTCCTAGGAGGGAATAAAAAGCAATCTTCTACTTTAAATCTAATTTTTATCATCAAGAAAATGCTGGTCAAAGGGAAAAAATGTTTGGAGAACTTGGGGGAAACGTACCACATTATGGTGAACTTCACAGATAGCGAAAAGGAAGGATCATGGTAGATATAGACACAAGCCATCATTAAAGATATATAGAAAGGCAAGACTAGATAACAAAAACTTTTGAATGAAAAGTCAATTCAAGATTATTTGAAAGCTTCAAAAATGAAATTCTGATTACAGATCCCAAAGATAAAAAAGAGTGATACCTAACATTTAATAACAATAAGAGAGGTTAGTAACAAATGTTATTAAAAAGTTTGATACAATGTGCATTTTTCTTAGAGTCTGAGTTATCATGATCAAAGTTGACTCCTGAATAGAAAAGCTGAAAAAATATATGAAGATTCCAAGAATCTGTTTCGTAGAGCAAAAGGAGAAGAAGAGCTAGTGTTTGAGGTAAGATCCAGCAAGCGCCCCAGGAAGAAATGGAAGGGAAGTTAAAGTGAACATAATAGATCCAGATGAAGTTCTGCTTTGGCAAGGCCTTCTGAAGTGTTCTGATACCTTCCTCTGCTCTAGCCTCAACTTATCTTAACGGCATGGGGTTCTGGAGCTAGGATCTGGCTGAAATATCTTTACTAAGCTTCGGTCAAAAAAGCAAAGTTCTTCAACTACTTTGATTAAGTATTTTTAACCAAAGAGAATAATTTCTTTTTTTAATCCTCACCTGACGACATTTTTGCATTTATCTTCAGATAGAGCTGGAGGGAGAGAGGGGGGAAGAGAGAGAGAGAAACATTGATGTGAAAGGGACACATTGAGTGGTTGCCACCCACACGACTCCAGCCGGGGCCGGGGACAAAGTGCAACCGAGGTACGTGAACCGAACCCAGGAACCGAACCCAGGACTCTCTGGTCTGCAGGCCGACGCTCCAACCGCTGAGCCAAACAGGCCAGGGCCAAGAGAATAAATGATCTTTTAATTCAAAATACAAGAAAAAACAAAAAGAAGGGAGATATTTTCAAGGTGCTCCTCACATATATAAATAGATAAATTCAAGTCTCCAGGCTAGGATAGCATGCATATGAAACCCTCAAATCACTGTAAAGTGATTGTAGAGGAATGAATGTTGAAGTGACATAACATTGCCATAATAACCAGGGAAAATTATTTATTTTACCTTTTTACAAATGATATATGACTCTTAAGGTTAGATTAAATCAATAGTAATGGGGACAGGCTGGATTCAAATGCAAGCTCCCTCATCTTCAAAGCCTGTTCCTCCTCTACTTCATGATGTGAGAGAACTGGAGATGTACTGATAGCATTCTAATTTTAATCTTCACAAATTGATACCAATAATCCCTTGGATGATTCTTGGCCAAAATGAAAGAAAGGTGGGGGAGGGAGAGAGGGAGAAAGAAAGAGACAGAGAGAGACAGAGAGAGAGAGATGGAGGGAGGGAGGAAGGAAAGAAGGAAGGAAGAGAACTAATATAAAGTTGTGAGAGAAATCACTGAGGTAGCATCTCACCTTAGTCTTGGAGAGAATTCCTCCTGAAGTTCTATATGATTACAAGTTGGTCCTGAGTAAATATCAATCTATTTTCATAAGGATGAAAGAAAAATGATTGAGCTATCAGAAGGATACTGAATTTTTAAATAAAAGAATCACGTTTGTAGCAGCACTATTTACAAAAGCTAAGATCTGGAAACAGCCCTAGTGTCCATCAGTAGACGAATGGATAAAAAAGCTGTAGTATATGTACACAATGGAGTACTATGCAGTTGTAAGAAAGAAAGATCTCTTATCCTTTGAGACGACATGGTGGCACCTGGAGAGTATTATCCTAAGTGAAACAAGCCAAGCAGAAAAAGACAAAGAGCACATGATCTCACTTATATACGGAATATAATGAACATAACAGTCTGAGGAACAGGGTAGACCCAGAGATATGGAAGTAGGGTACAGACGGACAGTCCTCAGAAGAAGTGGGTGGGAGGGAGGGAAGAGATAAACTACAGAACTTATATGCATGTACCCACAACCAATAAACGTGGACAACAAAGCTCGGGACAGGGTAGAAGAGGATGGGAAGAAGGGTGTCAATGGGGAAAAAAGGAGAAACATCTGTAACAAAAATAAATTAATAAAAAAAAATAATCACAAGAAATGCCTACTTTGAAAATGTACTGCAAAAATAGAAAATTTTAGAGACTTTGTTTTTATTATCTGAATACAATTAAAGAGGACACTATGAATCTATGAAAGAGGGCTCTGTGAATAGGAAGAATGACATAAAATGAAGTAAAATTCCAGATTGACAAAAATTTGACCAATAATTATGGCAGAAAAGAACTGAGAGAGAAGACTATATCAACACTTCTTCCCAGAACTAAGTTAAATTTTAAAGATAAAAAAAGAGACTGATACATCGCCACTGCACACCCAGGAGAATAGTTAAAATGGAAAAGACATGGAAACATGGCGATTAGATCTCATTGCTGAGAGAAATGTAAAATGGTAAAACAACATTGGAAAACATTTGACCGTTTCTACTAAGCTAAATATGTGCTTATCTTGTGACCCAGCAATTATTACTACTGTGTACCTGAAAGACATATCTATTCAAAGACATCTAAAATAATCTGTATGTTTATAAACACTTTATTCATGATAGCTCCAAACTGAAACCAGCTGAAATGTTTATCAGCAGGAAAATGGATGAATATTACTCAGCAATAAGAAAGAATGAGCCTGCCCAGTGTGGCTCAGTGGTTGAGCATCGACCCATGCACCAGGAAGCTGCTGGTTTGATTCCTGGTCAGGGCATATGCCCAGTTTGTGGGCCAAATCCCCAGTGGGGGCATGCAGGAGGCAGCCAGATGATGTTCTCTCTCATTGATGCTTCTATCTCTCTCTCTCCCTCTCCCTCTCTCTCTAAAATCAATAAAAGAAGAAAAAAAAGATGTGTAAGGTATGTGTGTGTGCATGTGCAAGGGAAGAGGTTATTGACTAGAAAAGGGCATGCTAGAATTCATTCTGAGATGCTGAAAATGTTGTCTATCTTATGTGGATGATTGTCCAGTTATGAACATATGTAAAAATTCATTTATAATTAATGCATTTTATATATGTTATACATTAGTGAAAAAAGAATTTTAAATTTAATATATGTAGTGGAGAGAAGAAATTGTACATCAAATGCTAACAGGAGTATATTCTATGTAGTTACATTTTTTTCCTTTCCTTTTTATATATTTTTGTATTTCCTTCAAAATATAATATAGCATACATATATACAATCTATATAATGTTTATATTTATTAAATATAGTATATATTTTATACATATTATGTATTATATATGATAAAACATAATTAGGGAAGCAGCTGTATTCAAGTTTATCAATTTTTTCCTTTTAATATTTTTAAATACTATATTATATATTTATATATTATATAATCAAACTAGTATAATTAGAAAAATAGATATATGTTCTTCACAATATGATTGGCTCATATAACTTGTTTGGTTATGAATTTTTCTATTATAATTATTGTGTTTTATTACTGATTTTTTTTTATCACTAAGGAGCCTAGAGTTTGCTAATCTACACATGATGACGAGATTAAGAAGTTTATTTATTTCTAGAGCATCTGAATTAGAAAGCAAAATCTCCCATGTTCACTCCTTATAGAAATAATCACTGGGAAAATTTATTGTACATTTTCCATGATCATGACATGCATTTATTGACATGTGCATAATTATAATAATTAGTTTTAGAGAAATGAGATCTTATAATGTTCTGAATCTTGTTTTGTTCACTTACCACCACCACTTACCAGTCAACTTTCTATGATAGTGCTTATGATTTCTTCATTTGTAAGATGACTGAAAAAAAATTAACATTTTACTTAGATCTTATTCTATCATCAATCGTACTATAATTTATTAATTTATTTATTAGACTGTTAATGGATATTTATCTCCACTTTGTGCTTTTATAATGCACTTTAAAGTATCACACAGTGTAATTCTAATTTTGTCATATATTGTGTAACCTAAAAGAAACAAAAATACCTATGTCAAAATATTTGTGTGTTAACATTGGTTATCTATGAGATATGATAATGTGATAATTTTTGTTTTTATACTTTATTTTCATATATTTACATATTCATTTAATAACTAATGTAAAAGCAGAAGATTATATGGGCAAATCCTAGTGGAAAAGCAATGCATTGGGAAGGAAGAAGCATAGGAAGAAATGGACTTAAAATATGTGAATGGCTGTCATGTAGATAAGTTATATCTGATTATATAACGTAAAGGTCTGGGGTTAGAACCGATGTGCAAGACTAGATGGGATTGAATGGAAAACCATTTAGGCTCTCAAATATGGAGGGAATTTTAATAGATCTTCCAAAAGAGAAAATTTTGAGTTCTTCAACACTGGGAATGTACAGATAGGTTCAGTGGCTCCTAGTGGGACTATAATAGATGATCTTGAAACCTGGAGGTTTCTAGAAAAGATAATCCTTTGAATGTAAAGTACTGTAAAATCTTCCCAAGAAAACTGTTCTTTTAAAAGCCCTGATGTCTCCACACTTCATCTGGTTCAATTTCTATAGATTTCCTTGGTTGTTGAATCACATGGTTCTTTCTACATCTTCAGCTTCTACTGAACCTGCTCCATATTCTATTTTTGAGTGTCTTTTTCCCTATTAACTTGAGTATAATTTTCTATTTTGATTTACTGAAAAGGAGCCATAGCATACATCTGTGTGATGATTTCACTCATGTCAACTTGCCAGAGTTATTAACATATATAATAGAGTCTGTTGATATTTTATTAGAAGACCAAAATTATGTATCCAAGTACGTAGAGTGGGAAGTAGTTTGCTAGTTTCTTTACCATTTTAGCCACTTTTCTGAAATTATCATAAGCACTGAAGTGAAGAATGATCAACATTTTCCCCACTGCTAAGAAGAAATTAATTTAGAACAAAAATATGTAAATAAGAAAATCTTCTGATTTAGTGCTAGCATTTTCTCCTTCCCTTCCTGTTCCTCATTCTTATTCTTAATCTTATTCCTTTTCTAGCTTTGAAGCAATGTTTACTGAACTGGAAGAGAGACAGAAAGAGCTCGGCATTGCTAGCTTTGGTGCCTCTGTCACTACCATGGAAGAAGTCTTCATTAGGTGAGCAGCAAGCACAGGGAACATAAAAACACTGAGTGGGGAAAGGACCACTTCCTAGTCTCTTTGTAAACTCACCACACTTTCAGACTCACACATTAGAAATTTAAGAGGTGTGGGGGAGGAGCCTAATGTAATTTCTTTTACAATAGGAACATTGAAAAATATATTACCACCATCATTTAATAAAGGAACTGAAATTTTAACTTACTCAAAGTATGAGTTAGACCTTAACCTTTAACTTGAAAGAGTTCAACTTAGCAAAACACTCTTTATATGGCCCTTGTGTTTCTGGCTTTCCCGTGGTCTGGCAGTAGTCCTGTGACCGCTCTAGGAGTCATCATGCTGTTTCATACAGTGAGAAAACCAGGGAACCTTCTAAGTTGGGTGGTGTGACTCAAACAAGATGTATTGGGATAAAGTAAAAATAAAATACTTTGTACTTTTTTTAACATAGGGTCAGTAATATGGAAGCTTCAGAAATAGACATCTTACCTCTCCAATCTCAACGTTTCTCTCAGATGAGTGATACCTTATTCATGAACCAGAATAGGAATATGTCCAGAAATGAGAGAGCTGACTCTTTAACTGTGAATGAAAGCCCTGCTGTTATGTTTAATACTGGGGTAAGCAGCTTTACTAAGAAAACTGATGTATGTTTGGTCGGGGCACAAGAGGTACGTTTTAAAATACTTGAACTAACGGAATGTGGACCCAACCAGATACAGAGTGGCCTGAACCACCACCTAATTAACTTCCTAATGCAGAAGCAACGAATTCTAGAGACAATCTTAAGAATTATTCCTCTCTCATTTTTGTTTTCTGTTTTAGAATTCTATTGCATTATCATACTATGTTTGGATTCTATTCCAAATATTTAGAAAGTTTATGTTTCTCTATCATAAAGTTCCAAAATGTTCATCCTAATTTCAATGTGAATGATGTGTTTAGGTCTATGAATATTATAATTTTCTGCTTCTCTCTTCTTTCTTCAGTATTCCCTCTACCAGCAGCAGTTCCGTGCCATGTTCATAAAAAGGGTAATATTCAGTCGTCGCAACTGGAAACTCATTCTGCTGCAGATGCTGGCCCTTGTTGGTTCGCTTGCCTTGCTCTCACAGGCTGACAAGTCTTCACTTGGCAATATGAACGGGCAGTCCAGACAAATGAATTTGGGTCAATATGGTCAAACCATTGTGCCTCTATCTATTTCTGGGAATTCTAATTTGACTCTGATTTTCTTAAAACATCTTAAAAGTATGCTCATATCTGACAACCACACACTTAAGGAAGTGCAAGGTAAGGTTCATTAAGAAAAAGATTGTTTTGGATGGAGGTCTGGTTATGTGACTTGTAAAGAAGGATTTTACCTGTATATGTGGCTGGCTGCCTGCTCCATCCTTTTCCTGTTAGTCATCAGTTTTATAGAGGCAGCCCAGAGTCAAGAAATGCACTCGTTAAGGCTACTAGCCTCGAAACATTAATTATTAGTGGAGGCACTTGGGCTGTGGGTTGCCTATGTGACATTTGTTGTCCCTTCAAGTAAAAACAAGTGCCAAAATACATGTTACCATGAAATTAAGCATGTTTTTTTTTTTTTTTTTTTAAAGATCTGGTGAGAATGTAATGTATCACATGAATCTCGGCCTTACAGAATAGAATGGTGGTCCCAAGCTAGTCTTCTGCCTCTTACATCTTTTCTACCATTCATGTTGTCATTATTTTTGTGTTAGCCATTCTGGTAGTGGTATTTCATTATTGTTTTAATTTGCTTTTCCCTAATGTGCACACCTTTTACATGTGCTTATTTGTCATCTGAAATATATGTTCATGTCTTTTCCTCCTTTTTTAAAAAAATGTTTTTGTTAATTTTAGAGAGAGAGGAAGGAAGGAGAGAGAGAGAAGCATTGATGTAAGAGAGAAATATTGACTGGCTGCCTCCTGTACATACCCCCACCTGGGATCAAACCCACCATCCAGGGCTCTTTGGCTCCTTTTCAAGATAAATGGTGTTTGGTTTTTTTTACTGTTAAGTTATGAGAGATTTTTTTAATGTTTTTCCTTATATTATTAACTGTCTTTTCATCATCCTAATGGGTTTTGTAGGAAAAAGTTTCATTTTGATGAAGTTCAATTTGTTAATTTTTTAAAATGAATTGTGTATTTTGTGTCAAGTCTAAAACTCTACATAGCCCTAGATAATGAAGATTTTCTCATAGTAGTTTTCTAAAGGTTTTATAATTTTATATTTTATACTTAAGTTTATAATTCATGTCACATTAATTTTAGTATCATGCATAAGACGCACATCAAGGTTAAATTTTGTGCCTATGGATATCCAATTGCTCCAGCAACATTTTTTGAGTAACGACATCCATTATTTTGTACCTTTATCTAAAATGAGTCAGACATGTATGGGTCTCTTCTTGGGTTCTCTATTCTGCCTCATTGATTTATACATCTATTACTTCACTAATAGTGGTAGACTATTCCTCCTACTTTATTCTTGTTTTTCAAAATTGTTTAGTTCCTTTGATTTTTTTCCTATAAATTTTAGAATAACTTTGTCTAGACCTATAAAAAGTGGGAATTTTTATAAGAATTGGATTAAATCTGTATAACAGTTTGGGAGAATTAACATCTTTACTATGATAGGTTTTCCAGTTCATGAACATAATATGTGCCTTCATTTAACTAGAACTTTTTAATTTCTTTCATCAGTGTTGTGTACTTTTCATCATATAAATCATGTAAATATTTTCTTAAATTTATAGCTGAGAATTTTATTTTTGAACAAATTTAAATGGCATATATTTTAAATTTGGTATCCATATATTATGAATATTGTTAATTAATGTTTTTTCTCTTGTTTCTCATCTTTTCTTGTACTGTGCCATTGGCTCTCCCTCCCCCCCATCAACCTGTCTTCCGGTTTCCTGTCTACTTTTCCTTTGTATCCAACATTTTATGAGTTATTTATTGAATCCTTAATTGTAATTAACGTGATTTTTCAATTCTAACATCAACATTTATTTTTTTATGGGCCCCAGTTCTCTGGTCAATTCTTTCTCTAATGCCTAATTTACCTGTGGATCTGCTTCTATTATTTGTATCTTTTCTTGGTTCTGATATTTGGTATACTTAGAAATTTTCTAATTGAATGCTAGATATTGTATGTGAAAATTATACATAATCTGCATGAATTTATCTTCTCCTGAGGCGGTTTAATTTCTGATCACAATAAGATTAAGGAAGGTGTAAATCCAATCAGGGATTTAAGTGATTTGATACTGGACTGAAATTTTTATAAGAACTGGTCTATTTCTTACTCAGTCTTACTCTTAGGTTATAGCCCTTCATGAACCCTATTAAGAGCTGAAGGATTTACCAAAAGACACCACCACCATTAATAAATTTAAAATTTCTCAAAGGAAAATGTTATATAGAATGTTTGTCTTCGGTGCATTTCCATTTTTCCCAAGGTCTTGGATCCCATATGTTCATTGCTTTCCTAGATATACGATACCTTAAAATAGGTGATTTCTCTCTGTCTCTCTTTTTTTATTCAGCTTTTTCATTTTCTCACAGAAAGGTTTTGTCTGCTGTAAGATAAGCAATAAAATCTATAAGTAAAAGTACTCATCAATCAATTTAAGACAGATAAGTGAGTTTAAAGAGTTTGTACCATGTCACCCGTGTTTTCTCAGGGAAATAGGAGTTTAGATTCTAGGCAATTAAGTAAGAGAGCTCGGAATTTAATGATACAGTGCTCAAGGAGAATGGCAAATGTTTGAAATAATCATTATCAGAAAATTGAAAGCGATAATAATCAAGTAAAATTAGTTGTTCTTCTTCCCCAACATATATAGTGGGTTATCTGTGTTGTGGATAAACTGACCAATATTGTGTTCTCATCTTAGGTAACCTAATGGAATACTTGATAGAAAATGAAGATTGTATTCACTTATGCATTGTTGCATTTTCAATTGAGGTGAAGAGAAATCAAACAATATTTACTGTTCTGTTCAACAATCAAGCATACCATTCACCATCCTTGGCCTTGGCAATGTTAGACAATATTCTTTTCATGTCAACTTCTGGCCCTGATGCTTCCTTAACAGTCTCCAATAAACCTCAGCCACACCTTAATGATAAGGAATACAGTAGAATGTATGTTGTTCTTTTTATTAGAATAAAATTTTATACTTTAAATGCTTTTATGTTACTCTGATTATATCTGTATGATTAAAGATAGCTATTGATAGAAATTTATATTTTCTGCTGTGTTGATTTTTGATATATCTACTTTTGTTCTTCCTTCTCTAGCTTTTCAAATGGATACCAGGTGGCCTTAAATATACATTTTGGCATGGCTCTATTGATCAGTGGCTATTGTCTCCTGACAGTGACTGAGAGAGTCTCTGGGGCAAAGCACATTCAGTTTGTGAGTGGGGTCTATATCCTTGCATACTGGCTCGCTGCTCTACTGTGGGATCTCATCCTCTACTTCATTGCCTGCTGCTTCCTACTGGTGAGTGTTAGATAATGTTTTCTGAGAGCTCATGTACCTTCTGTACCCCATGGAAAAGTCCTAGTCTCCAATTCTGTCATAAACCTAACTCTGTCTTTTCTCATTATCTTAGAAAACACATTGCAATGTAAATTTTAACCAAGAAGCATGTTAAAGAAAATATTTGGAATAATTATTTATAATAATATTTTTATACTCACCCAAGGACATACTTATTGATTTTAGAGAGAGAGGAAGAGAGAGAGAGGGAGAGGGGGAGAGGGAGAGGGGGAGAGAGAGAGAGAGAGAGAGAGAGAGAGAAAGAGAGAGAGAGAAACATTGATCAGTTGACTCCCGTATACACCTGACCAGGTATTGAACCCACAACCTAGACATGTACCCTGACCAGGAATCAAACCTGAAACCTCTTGGTGTATGGAATGATGCTGCAACTAACTGAGCCACCTGGACAGGGCCATAATAATTTTTGTGAGCTAAACTATGTCCCCCAAATTTTACTTGTTTAAGTTCTAACCACCAGTTTCTCAAAATGTAACTATTTAAAGATAGGGCCTTCAAAGAGGTAATTAAGTTAAAATGAAGCAGTTAAGGTGGGTCCTAACTCAGTCTGACTGGTGTCCTTTTAAAGAAGAGGGAATTTGAACATACAAAGAAAAAAAAACACCATCTGAGAAAACATCATTTGAGGACACAGCACAAAGGTGACCATTTACAAGCCAAGGAAAAAGCCATAAGAAGAACCAATCCTGCAGACACCTTGATCTTGGACTTCCAGCCTCCAGAACGATGAGAAAATAAATTTCTGTAGTTTAATTCTCCTATTCATGCTATTTTATTATGGCAGCCCTAACAAACTAATACAAGAATCAGATCCTGGAGACAACCATTATCCATCAAAAGTAAAATAGGTAAATGAATGGTGATACTAAGGGAGAAACTATACAGCAATGATAAAAAATGAAGTAGAACTTATTCAACATGGATGAATGCCATAATACTGAGAGAAAGAAGCCAGATAAAAAGAGGTGCATGTTGTACAATTATGTTCATAAAAAGTTCAAACTATAGATAATACTGTACAGTAAGTCCTCATTTAATGTCACTGATAAGTTTTGTGACTTTAAGTGAAATGACATATAATAAAACCAGTCTTACCATAGGCTACTTGATATAAAAAAGAGTTAAGTTCCTAGGGCATCTCATCAATATTATAAGGAAAATGTTGAAAAAAAATGACATCATTTACCTGCAGTACTATCTTTTAATATTCTGGGATGCATGCCTGTGTGATGACATTGTTCGGTAATACAAAGAAAAAAAGTCTTAGGATAAAAATCAGAATAGTGGTTACTTTTTACAGAAGTTGGAGGAGTTGACAGTAGGTTTTTTCAGGTGCTGGCATTGTGGTAGGTGCCCACGGGTTTGTTCATTATGATAATTTATATCAGTCTTATGTACTCTGTCAGGTGCATGTTACATTTCATAATGAAAAAGTCAAAATTTTTATTTGAACATCTTGTCTGCATGTTCATTTAAAGATTAATTTGTGTATAAATGACATACTTACAATGCACAATCTTCTTTTTGAAAACAGAGTATATTGCTTACTTATCTAACAAAGAATTTGGCTTTTCTTTGAAGTAGGTTATGATTTATGACATTCAAGGATTATAAACTTTATTTTTCTCAAATTTTTATTACAAATGTTTCTCCTTTTTCCCTCCTAGACCCCGTCCTCCCCAGCCTGCCCCTCCCCCCCCCTAGCATTGCTGTCTATGTCCATTGGTTATATGTACATGCATATAAGTTCTTTGGTTCATCTCATCCATCCCCCTCGCCCCCAACTCTTAAGTTTGTCAGTCTAAACCATACTCATTTCTATGTCTATTTCATTCATCAGCCCATCTTATTCATTATATTCCACAAATAAGTGAGATCATGTGGCATTTGTTTTTCTCTGATTGGTTTATTTCACTTAGCATAATACTCTTGAGGTCCCCCCCTGTTGTCTCAAAGGAAAAGAGATCTTTCTTTCTTACAGATAGTATTCCATTGTGTATATGTACCACAGCTTTTTTATCCACTCATCTACTGATGGACACTTGGGCTGTTTCCAGATCTTAGTTATTGTAAATACTGCTGCTAATAAACATAGGGGTACATATATTTTTTTCTGATTGGTGTTTCAGGATTCTTAGGGTATATTCCTAGAAGTGGGATCACTGAGTCAAATGGCAATTCAATTTTTAATTTTTTGAGGGAACATCATACTGTTTTCCATAGTGGCTGCACCAGTCTGCATTCCCACCAGCAGTGTACTAGAGTCCCCTTCTGAGGATTGTCAGTCTATATGCTACTTCTATGATTCCAGATCTACTTTGTTCATCAGTTTGTTTAGTTCATTATATTCCAGAAATAAGTGAGATCATGTGATATTTGTCTTTTTCTGCTTGGCTTGTTTTGCTTAGGATAATACTTTCCAGGTCCCTCTATGTCATCTCAAAGGATAAGAGATCTCCCATTACAAACAATGTAAGTTGAATTAATCCATTCCAAACCCACAATGGTTCCCTGTATTAACCTTTTTTATGTACAGTACATATCTAATGTACTGTTTAATCTATAAACAAACACCTCTTTTCCTAAATCTATCAAACCACCCCTACTGGTCTTAAATGAATCACTTTTGATGTATCTCTCTCACATTGATGTCTCTGTCTCTCTGCCTCCCTCCTTCCCTCCCACTCTATCTGAAAATCAATGAAAAACTATCCTCGGGTGAGGATTAAAAAAAGAAAATAAATATTGGCCTTAAATAACACATCAGACCAAATGGACATAATTGATATTTATAGAATCATTAATCCAAGAACATCAGATTATACATTCTCTCCAGTGCACATGAAGCATTTTCAAGTATAGACCTTAGGTTGTGATACAAAACTAGCCTCAAAAAATTTAAGAAGATTGATATCATATCAAGTATACTCTCCAGCCACAATACTTTGAAATTACAAATGAACTACAAAATGGAAGTTTAAAAACCCACAAATATGTGGAGATTAAACAACATACTACTAAAAAATGAGTCAAAGAAGAAATAAAAGGTGATATCAAAAGCTTATAGAGACAAATGAGAATGACAATACAACATATCAAAACTGTTGGGAATGTAGCAAAAGCAATAATAAATGGAAAGTTTATATTATTACAGGTCTATCTCAAGAAACAAGAAAAATTTCAAGTAAAAGATCTAACATTACATCACAAAGAACAAGGAAAAAAAAAAAAAGAACAAAAGAGCCCAAAGTCAGCAGAAGAAAGCAAATAATAAAAATTAGGGGATAATTGAATGAAATAGACAACATAAGGACTATACAAAAAATTGATATAACAAAGATCTGGTTATTTGAAGAGATTAATAAAATTGACAAACTCCTGGCCAGACTAAGGAACAAAGAGATGAAGTTAATATAAACAAAATCAGAAAAGAAAAAGAATTACAACAGACATCACAGATATACAAAATATCATATTAGAATGTTAGGAAGGACTATATACCACAAAATTCAACAACCTAAAAGAAATGGGTAAGTTCCTAGAAGTATACAACCTTCTTAGACTGAATCATGAAGAACTGGGAAATCTAAATAGATCCATCAACAGTGAGGAAATGGAAACAACCATCAAAAACCTCCCCAAAAGTAAATGTCTAGAGCCAGATGGCTTCACTAGTGAATTCTATCAAACACTCAAAGAAGATTTGATACCTATATTTCTCCAGCTCTTCAAAAAATTAAAGAAGAGGTAATACTTCCTAACACATTTTATGAGGCTAACATATCCAATACCAAAACCTGGCAAGGATAACACAAAAATGAAAACTATAGACCAATATCTCTGATGAATACAGATGCAAAAATTCTAAACCTAACACTAGCAAATCAAATAAACATTACACTGAAAAATAATATATCATGACTAAGTGGGGTTCATTCCGGGGGCACAGGGATGGTTCACCATATGCAAATTGATAAATATATCACATTAACAAAATAAAGGATAAAAGTCATATGATTTTATCAATGCAGAAAAAGCATTTGGTAAGATAAAACATCCATTCTTGATTAAAATACTGAATAAAATGGGTATGGAAAGAAAGTAACACAACGTAATAAAGGCCATATATGACAACCTCTCAACTAATATACTCAATCGTGAAAAACTGAGCCTTTCCTCTAAAATCTGGAGCAAGATAAGTATGTTCACTCTTACCACTCAACATAGTTCTGGAAGTTCTGGAAGAGCAATCAGGTAAGAGAAGGAAATAAAAGGTACCCAAACTGGGAATGAAGAAGTAAAAGTATCACTTTTTTCAGATGACATGATTCTTTATGTAGAAAATCCTAAAGACTCCACCAAAAGTTATTAGAAACAGTAAACAACTACAGTAAAATTGCAGGATACAAAATCAATGTACAAAAATTTATTGCATTCCTATATACTAACAATTAAATTTCAGGAAAAAAAACTTTTGTAATTCCTTTTTCTATTGTAATAAATAGAAGTTACAGAGGAATACATTTAATGAAGGATGTGAAGGATATATATAATGAAAACTACAAAGTATAATTAAAAGAGATAGAAAAAGACACAATGAAATGGAAAGATATTCTATGTTCATGGACTGGAAGAATCAATATAGTTAAAATGGCTATATTACCCAAAGCAATATACAGATTTAATGCAATCCCCATCCCAATTACATTTTTAAAAGAAATAGAACAAAAAAAATATCAAATTTGTATGGATCCCCGAATAGCCAAAGCAATCCTGAGAAAAAAGAATAAAGCAGAGGTATCACATTACCTGACTTCAAATTATACTACAGAGGAACAATAATCAAATCTGTTCCACTGGTCTGTATGTCCATTGTTAGAAAAACAGACCCACAGACCAATGGAACAGATTTGGGAGCCCAGAGATAAAACCACATGTTTATCAGCAAAAATTTTTTGACAAAGGAGCCAAAACATACAGTGGAGTAAGGAAAAGCCCCCTCAATAAGTGGTGCTGGGAAATTAGAGATCCACACGCAAAAGGAAAAAACCTCAAGTACAGTTTGTCCCCATGTACAGACATTTATTCAAATGGATCAAACACCTAAATATAAGATCTGCAACAATAATTACATGTAAGAAAACATAGATACTCAACTTAATGAACCTTGGTCTTAGAGAAGATTTTATGAATTTGACCCCAGCAGCAAGGGAAGTAAAGGCAAAAATAATGAATGGGACTATATCAAACTAAAAAGCTTCTGCACAGCACAAGAAACAACCAACAACACAAAAAGACAACCAACAAAATAGGGGAAGATATTTGCAAAAACAGTTCTGACAAGGGGTTAATATCCAAAATATATAAAGAACTCATGCAACTCGACACCAATAACAAAGAACCTGATCAGATACCACTCCCAAGAAGACATACAAATAACCAACAAATATAAGAAAAGATATTCAACTTCAATAGCTATCAAGGAAATGCAAATTAAAACTATAATGAGATACCACCTCACACCTATTGGAAAGGTTATTATCAACAAAACAAGTAATAAGACAAGTGTTGGAGAGGTTTTAGAGAAAAAGGAACTCTCATTCACTGCTGGTGGATATGTAAACCAAAAAACACTATGGCAGTTGCTCAAAAATTAAGAAGTTGTTACCGTGTGACCCAGCTTTCCCTCTCTGGGTATGCGCCCTAAAACTTGAAAACTTGAAGCCCTATGTTCATTGAAGCAATGTTCATGGTGTCCATTCATGGAGACAATGTATCCTTTGATGGATGATTGGGTAAAGAAGATGTAGTACATGCATATAAGTTCTGTGGTTTATCTCTCCCTCCCAACACCCCCTCTTTTGAGGTTTGTCAGTCTGTACCGTACCTGTATGTCTCTGGGACAATTTTGTTCATCAGTTTGCTTAATTCATTATATTCCACAAATAAGTGAGATCATATGATATTTTTATTTCTCTGCTTGGCTTGTTTCACTTAGGATAATACTCTCCAGGTCTCTCCATGTCATCTCAAAGGATAAGAGATCTTTCTTTCTTACAGCTGCAGAGTACTCCATTGTGTACATGCATAGCCAATGGACATAGACAACAAAGCTGGGGAGGGGTGGGGGAGGCAGGGGGAAAAAAGAGAAACATCTTTAACAAAAACAAATTAATAAAAATTACTTTAAAAAATTAAAATAAATAAATAATTTTAAAAAAGAAGATGTACTACATATATACTATGGAATACTAACCCATCAGGCATAATGAAAGATGAAATACTGCCATTTGCTACAGCATGGATGGACCTTGAGAGTATTATTTTAAGCAAAATAATTCAGTCAGAAAAAACTAAGAACCATATGATTTCACACATATGTGGGATATAAAACTGAAACTCATAGACAGAGACTACAGTATAGTGGTTACCAGAGGAAATGGGGTTTGGAATGGTAAAGGGCAAATGAGGTCAAATCCATGGTGACGGAAGGTGATTTGACTTTGCATGGTGGGCACACAGTGAAACTTACAGCTTTTGTGTTGTAGAAATGTATACTTGAAACCTGTATAATATTAACTAATGTCACCCCAATAAATTTTTTTAAAAGATCGACATGGATACTAAGGAAAAGTTGTTGTTGCTACATGTAATTCTTCTGTACAATGAATTATGGGGGGGGAGGTAAATGACACATTAAAAAGCAAACAATCTAATAGTAAAAAGTAAGAAAACAGTTGGGAGGGGTATTTTAGAATGCCAATTGTGACAAAATGTAGACAGTATAGAATCTGGAGACAATAACCCTGGCTAATTTTGAGTCTGCCAATGTCTAGTGTTACTTTAGGCAAACCACTTAACTGATTTGTGAAATGAGAGTAAGAATGCTACCTACCTTGCTTATCTTGTGGGCTGCTGAGAATGAAACTATGAAAGGAAAAGTGATACAAGAACAAGTAAGTAGGAAGAAACCCCAGAGTTGCTGAAGTGGATGTGATAAGAGAGTGGGCATAGAGTGGAACCTGAGACCCAGTCTAATGGTGATGGCGGTGACAGGTAAGGTATACAGTCAAGAGGAAAAACCTTCAAAGAAATTGTCACTCTTCAGAGGAATAATCTACTTTCTGGGAAAACTGAGAATTCATATTATTTGGGGAAAATATACTGACTTTGTTTATGAATTTAAAAAAATCTTTTCCAAGTTCAAAGAAAGTATAAAAGGAATTATAGTGGTTCTGCTCTCTGGAGAAGAGGTGGGTAGGACTTTTTTAAAAAGGAGGTAAAACGATTTAATTAATGAGTACTGCCTTGGATTGTCTTTGCACTTAGGTCTCACTTGCCTTCATCTCTGTATCCTGTGTTTCAGGTGGTGTTTCAGCTGTGCGAGCTGGACGTCTACGTCACAGGCTACCACCTCCTGGACACCATGTTCATCCTGATGCTGTACGGCTGGTCTGCCATTCCGCTCATGTACCTGCTGAGCTTCCTGTTCTCTAAAAGCTCATCTGCCTACATCAAACTTGTGTTGTTCAACTACCTTTCAGGCATTTTCAGCCTCTTAATAGATGTCATGTTTCAATCTGGTAAGTGTAAATAAATAACTGACGATGTTAGTAGACGATTAAGTTCCAGGTTTTGAGAAAATCCTGAACTTGACGTAAGTCAATACAAGTTATTTTGAGTGCCTGTGATACTGCTCCAGGTTGGTGGGAGTGGGGATCTTCGAACTGAACCTGTAGCTCTATCACAAGACTTACACAAGATCTTGGAAATTTTAGGAGCATTTGTCCCTGAGACTCCTTTGTCAGAAATAGAGAGAGAGAGAATAAATGAAAATAAAAGAGCAGCTTTCTTCTTAAAAGGGAAGGTATCAGAAAATTTGAATAAATTATATCAAAAATGTATTTGACCTTATACCCTTGTTACCTTTACATGTTATTCCTTGATGTGGTGGCACTTTGCATTGTGACAGGAGGGAAGAGTAGGAAGGACTCTCAAGTTTTGAGAGAGCCCAGCAGTTTTGTTGAGGAAGGGTTTTGTGGTGTGGCTGTTCTCCCCCAACTTAAGGATCCTGAGCAGCTAAACAAGATTGTCCAGAAAGAAGAAAAACTCTGCATGCACCTGACATACTTACAACTAAGCCAGTTCCCTTTCCTTCCACGCCTGGCTTCTGTGGGATCCTTATGTTTGTACCCCCTCCCTTTCCTTCTCTGATAGGAGTTTGAACTGACTGAGGTACTTGATCACTGCACCCCTCCCTGTTGTCATGGAGCCCCACAAGCACAGGCTCCTGGCTCACTCCCTTAGCCCTTCACTTGTCACAAAGGAGTATTTCACATGAGAAAGACATAAGCTTCAGCATAGCAGACACAAAAACATTGAGATATGCCTTACCACTCATTCTCAAAGGAATCCCCAAATTACGGAGAGCAAATGCCTGTATATTTTTTGTTGTTGTTCCGATAGAGTGGGAGGGAGGGAGAGGAAGAGAGAGAGAGAGAAACATTGACATGAAAGGGACACATTGAGTGGTCGCCACCTGCACAACCCAACCAGTGCCTGGGACAAACTGCATGCCCCTAGCGGTTCCGAACCTAGGTCTCTCTGGACTGCAGGCCAACGCTCAAACCGCTGAGCCAAACTGGCCAGGGCATGCCTGTATATTTTGGACACCTGTTCAAACAGAAATGTGTATCACACATAGACACAGACAACAGTGTGGTGATAGCCAGAGGGAAAGGTGATAGGGTAGGTTGAGGTGGGCAATGGGGGTTCTTTACTTTGAGTGATGGGTACACAATGCAGTATGCAGATGATGTTTTGTTGAGTTGTACAGTTGAAGCCTGTTAGGTTTGGTGTCATCCCAATAAACTCATGAGAAGAATGAGAAGAAATTGCTTATTAAGAAAGTTTAGAAAACATTTTGGGGAAAGAATATGTTAGAAGAGTCAGGAAGGGTAAGAACAGAAGCAGCAGCCACGGGTTTGGCGGTCAGGACGTCCAAGGGGACTTCCACTCCCAGCAGCAGCAGGAGCCTGGCAAGGGCACGCTGCCAGGGCGATGGGCTGAGAAGCTGGCATTGGCAGAGGCTGAGACACAGCGGAAGCACATGTCCCAGACGGTAAGCAGGCATTCAAGGTAGCTTTGACCTGAGGTTATTGACAGACTCTGCTGACCGTAACTTGACATTTTCACAGGACATGAGGAACACAGAGGTCAGAATGACAGGCACAGACGCACGTACAACCAAGGCTTAGTTGCTTCCCCTCTAACACTGGAAGTGAGAAGGGCTGTGTCTTCATTACAAGGGTGAACACAGCGTGGCTAAGGCCACAGCACAACTCACAAATGACATTAATAGCTTGAATCTGCCTGGAATAGAGAATAGTAATTTCCCTTTGGAATTTGTAATGATAGGCAAGTGTCCATACAGATTTGTTTCCTGAAATCATAGTATCTATGTAAGCCAAAAAACATAACCTGATTCTTTATTTGAAATAACCGCAGTTGGTTGTGCCCCCAGGTGAGTGGCAGAGGTATACACAATTCCTAGACTTCAAAGTACTCCCACAGGTGACTTATCTAAGGAACTTGAGATCAGGTGAGATGAACAGGGGAAAAGAAGCAAGACCTGAAGAGCAAGTGCTGGCAGAAGCCACCAACTGCAGAATCGGAATCAGACCTGCGACATTTAAGATTTGGGGATTTTAGAATAGAATATAAAATATGTCTTTTAAAAATATTTAAATAGTAACAGAGTGTCAGGTATAAGAGCAATTTACAGAATATATAATAAATAATAGAATATATATACATATACAAATATGCATTTAATATATATATATATATATATATATATATATATATATGGAGAGAGAGAATAAGTAGAGTTAAAAAAGATCCAAATAGAATCTTGAAAAATAAAACGAATTAATAATAATTTAAATTAAGAACTCAATAGACAGAAGTATCACAATATTACACACTGCTGAAACAGTTGAAGAGAGAATTGGTGGTTAAAGATGAACACGAAAGAAATGTATCCCATGAATAACAAGTTGGAAAACATCTCAGAAATGTGCAAAAGCCATGGAGGATAGAGTGGGCAGCTCCGATATATTGATAAAGAAAGAAATAATAAAAGATGAAGTCGTGTTAAAAAGATAGTGGCTGAGAATTTCCAGAATTGTTGAAAGACAGAAATTCTCCGTTTCAGAAAGCCCACTAAAATAAATTTTTTAAATTACTGGCCTATACACATCATCATGAAACTTCAGAACACCAACGCTAAAAAGATCTTTGAAACAGCCAAAGGGAAAATTTAAGTAGGCAAGTTTAAATATCTAGTGTGACCACTGAGGGAATATTTTTAAAGTATAATTTCCAAAACACAGTGAAGAAGAAGGGAGAAAATAAACTCTATTATATCCAAACGGCAAGAGGATAGAGATAAAAATGAAATAAAAATAATAAGTAGCAAAGTAATATGATGATAGTAGTTAGCCCAAATATATCAGTAATAAAAATAAACAGCAACAAAACAGGCTCATTAGCCCTGGCTGGTTTGGCTCAGCGGTTAGAGCGTCGGCCTGCGGTCCAGAGAGACCCGAGTTCGTTCCCGCTAAGGGCACATACCTTGGTTGCAGTTTGTCCCCGGCCCTGGTTGGGTCGTGCTGGAGGCAGCCACTTGATGTGTCCCTTTCACATCGATGTTTCTCTTTCTCTCTCTCTTCCTCTCTCTCCATCCCACTCTATCTGAACAAAAAAATGGAAAAATGTCCTCGGGTGAGGATAAAATATAAAATTAAAAATTAAAAAAAAAAAACAGGCTCATTAAATAAATGACAAAGACTGCTATTTTGTTTTGTTTTGTTTTAATCTTTACCCGAGGATATTTTTTCATTGATTTTTTTCAGATAAAATGGGAGGGAGGAAAAGAGAAAGAAACATCGATGTGAGAGAGAAACATCAATTGGTTGCCTCTCACACAACCCCGACTGGGGCCGGGATCAAACCCGCAACCAAGGTATGTGCCCTTGACTAGGAATTAAACCCACGACTCTTTGGTCCATGGGCGAGACACTCTAACTGCTGAGCCAAACTGGCCAGGGCAACATTGTTATTTTGGATCACCTCCTCCCAATTCTAGCATTGTGCTCTTTACAGGAGACACTGATAATAGAAAAGATACAGAAAGTATAAGAACGGAAAAAAGTCATATTAAACAAATGCTCACAAAAATAATACTGGAGTGACTCTAATGATATAAGAAAAAATATACACTTTGAGATAAAAATGTGTTACTAAAGAGGCCCACTACATGAGAGCGGAGTCAATTACACATTAAGTTGTAACAATTCAAAATTTTATTTACCTGGTAATATTATCTAGAAGTATATTCAGTAAAAAAATTCCAGAGCCACTTGAAATAGTAGGCAATACATACAACATCATTGAGAAGGTATTAGTATATCTCTCTTGTAACTAAAGGATTAAGCAGGGAAAGAAATTCAATAAATGATATCTATTGAATAGTGCAGTTAATAAACATGAGTCAATGAGTATATAGAGAACATAGAATCCCAAACATGTTTTTAAACATGCATGGAGTCTTTACAATAACTGACCAGATTATACACCATGAAGACTAATATATGACACATTCATTGTCATTTTGCAATTAAATTAGAAATCAGTAACAAAAAGGTAACTGGGAAAAGAACACACAATTGGAAATTTTATCTTATTTATTTTTTTGGGTATGTGCCCCTAGCGGGAACTGAACCCAGGACTCTCTGGTCTGCAGGCCAACGCTCCAACCGCCGAGCAAAACCAGCCAGGGCCACAATTGGAAATTTTAAAACACATTTTTAAATAATTAATGAGCCAAAAAGGAACTCATAATGTAAATTAGAAAATACTTAGAACTGAAGAATAATATAAATACTGTGCATCTAGATCTTTTATAGCTTTAACTACTACCATGAAAAAAAGCTAAAACTTAATTGACAAACTATCCAACTTAATAAGTTAGAAAAATAATAGCATAATAAAGACAGTAGGAATAATGGACAAATAAGAACAAATATTAATCAAATAGAAAACAAATATATAATAGAGAATACCAATAGCCCCACTAATCATCAGTTGGAAAGATTAATAAAATTGAGATAAATATTAGGTATATAAAGATATACACACACACATACATATTTATTAAACATCGACAAATAAGAGAATATGATAAACAATGTTAGGGCAATGAGTTTAAGAGTTTTGAACAAATTGTTACATTTCTAGAAAAAAATTCACAATATTATTTAAGAAGTATTAGAACATTCAAATTGTACCACAAGAATTTAAGCTGTTAATAGTTTAACTTATTTTGAAAAAGAAAATACAAGGGAACAGAAAAAAATGGCGGCGGAGTGAACGGAGCTACACAGACCGTCTCCCAGAACCAAACTGGAATTACAACTATAACACAGACAAATTGACGGGAAAAAGCAACCGAAAAGCAGCTTGGAAGACCATATAACGAGGGACACTGACTCCATCCCAGTAGGCTTGCGAAGGCGCGAGA